GGAAACCGTAGCTAATATATCCTGAATGAGATACTCCACTATGTGCTAATACATACTGTAACAAGGTCACGATCAGTATCACTCTGCTCTTCGTCGAGTAACATCGTTTACGGACAGAATAATTTTGTTAAAGTATCTAAAAATTTAGCTAGATACAGAATCTGAAACTATTTTGTCACACTATCAAAATAATTAGTAGGATATTCAAATACGATGAATGATGTAAAAAAGCAAAAGATTTTTGACATTCTAATAACCATCATGAGCGTACTACATAATATTATTTTGCTGCCAACAAAATTATTTTCAGATCTATATTTAACTACATTTTTAGATACTTCAGCAAAATTGTTCTTTCCGTGTTCGGATGTTCCATCTTTTCGTTCTTTATCAGAAGTTTCCATACTCGCAACCCGCTCGTATTTATCGGTATTTTTCGACGAACAAGTTCCACTTCAATATTTCGAAACAAAATACGAATACACAAAGGAAGATTTATATTATATTTTTCAGAGCAAAAATTTAAATTCTTTGCTAAATGTGCTTAAAATGTGATAACAAGTACAATATTCACTTTGATGTTTTTGAATTTACAACGTATCGAAAACGCACGCAAACAGATTGACTTTGGTAAAACCTGAATAAACAAGGCAAGCGGATAATTTAAGGCAAGTCTCATAGATAATCCCGCTTAGCGGGAGCAAATAAATTTGCGTTGTAAATTATTTATTCTTTTGCTCATAATAACGCGATATTTCTATTAAAATTATGCAATTATTTTTTCTACTATGACTTTACTGATGTAATCTAATTGAAACACCATTCTTTGTTTATTGTTATGATAATAAGTTCAGTGATTAAAGAATAGGGATTATTTAATACGAAATGTATAATATAACACATCACTCAATAAGTCCCGGGCCTGATATAATAAATGACGCACTAATAACAAATCCATATAATTTTTAGAAAGTACTAACCTTCAAACGATATGAGTTAAAATTTCACGACAATCGGACCTTTACTTTACAAGTTACAGTGGTTTAAGTGACGCTACTTTTGCATTTTTCAAAACAATGGAAAAATCTGAATTTCGTGTGTTGATTGGCAAAAGTACGCGAATTGGGCTTCGAATTGCTTCCCCATCCACCGTATTCTCCAGATCTGGCACCCAGTGACTTCTAGCTATTTGCAGACCTCAAAAGAATGCTCCAGGGAAAGAGATTTAGATCTCTTCAGATTTATTAGATTTAGATCATTCAAATGAGGGGGTTATTGCGGAAACTGAAGCGTATTTTGAGGCCAAAGACAAACCGTTCTACAAAAATCGAATTGTTAAAGAGGCGTTGGAATCAGTGTATCACCCTAGAAGGAGACTACGTTGATGAATAAAGTCGAATTTTGCTTAAAAGTTGTTGTTTTATTAGTTAGGCCCGGGACTTATTGAGTGATGTGTTATATATATATATATATATATGTATATACGTTAAAATCTATCTACTTTTACATTTACTTAAAAAAAAAAACTCGTACTCTCTGATAAAATTTAGTAATTAGAAGTTCAAAATACAGATCAAAATAACAAAAAGTTAATAACAAAAAGTAATTGATATTTTTGAATTAACAGCTAAAAACGGATTGAATAACGCATGAATAATATTCTAACTCTTGTACAAGAAAGTCTTACTAAGTCGTAAGACGAGAGATACCAGTTAGAAAAATTTCTCTTAGTAAGTTGTATTTTGTAAATACAATATATTTGACTTAATTTTATAAAAATATGTAAAACATAAAAAATAAATTGCATTATAAATAATAATTTTTTTCTTCTGTCTTTCCTGAAGAAAAAGATCGCAAGTTGCAAAATATCCTACTTATAAGGCAGTATATTTAACATATTTATGAAAGGCATAAAGTATTTATGAATGTAAAAATCTGGTAACTATTCTTTACCATTTCTACTTAACAATCTTTCTTGTGAAAATATGGAATCGTAATAATGAAAATATTGCAAGTTGTTACAATTTTAATATTTTGAGCTGTATTTTGAACTTCTAATTACTATGAATTTTATCAGAGCGTACGAGTTTCTTTTTTAAGTAAATGTAAAAGTGGATAAATTTTAACGTACATACATTTTGTATTAAATAATCCCTATTCTTTAATCATTGAACTTATTATCATAACAACCCTTAGCGGCCACACCTCAGCCCGGCCACATCGCGGCCACCGGGGTACATAGCTAAAAAAATTATTTGTACAAGATATATGGGTATTTTAAGATTTCTAATCGATTGTTTCATGTTTGTTGAACAGTTCTTCAACATTTCTAATGATTTATATTAGTCAATTTACAGATGGCGCTCTAAAAACTGATCATATATGTGAAAATTCGGCAAAAATGACTTTTTTCAGAAAAAAATTCATTACTCCGACATTTTTCAATATTAAGGGCTAAAATTTTAGGATTGTACGCACAAGATACACCACTACCATAAAAAAATAACAGTATACGCCGATCTTTCAAAAAGTATATTTATTTTGCAAAATTACGGTTATGAGGGAAAAATGAAAACGTCGAGAAAACGAACGCTCAAAGCGCCGCCATGCGATTTTTCGGCTTCCTATGTAATGGAGTCACATCTCACACGTGTCTACTAGTGACAGATGTCGATACTTGTATCAATTTCAAATGTTTTAGACCTCTAATTTCACTTTTCCTAAGCCTTGGGGTACAAAGTCATCCCGTGTGGCCGCTAAGGGTTACAAAGAATGGTATTTCAGTCATAGATTACGTCATGCAGTAAAATTATAGTGGAAAAAACAATTGCACAATTTTAATAGAAGTATCGCGTTATCATGAGCGAAAGAATAAATAATTTACAACGTAAATTTATTTGTTTCTGCTAAAAATAATAATATTTAAATGTCATGCATAATTTCCATAAATTTTTTTTAAATAATAAAACAGCGCATCGTACTTGATTCATGCATATAAGTTAGAACACTCCTTAGCATTAAATTAAAAATTACTTTTATTTGAAAATTACTGATCGGACATAATTTTGCTTCTCCTGGAAAGAAAAAGATTGTGTCTTCTGGCAGTAAAGAATTACATAGTATGCGCGAATTCTCGGATACCCTGTGTAATAAGTTTCTTTTCTTATTATTTTAGAATAGTGGAAACTTCTATGACGTATGCGTTTTCCACATCATTTTGCAGAAAGTAGACCAATGTAACTTTTCTTTTTGAATTGCTTAGTTAATTCATTTGTTTCGTATTTTTGATACAAATAATATTTCATATTTCCGCGATTTCTCACTTTTATTTATAATTCAGTCTCTGAATTTTTTTCTCTCTCTCTAATTTCATTGAACTTCTAGTACGTTGATAGTACGTATTACAAAGTTCATGATAAATGTCACGTGTCATTATTTGTTTCCAAAAAGAAATCAGATTTTGTAGATAAATATAATAGTATATTTACAAACTTTTAATATAACATAATATCTACAGCAATCTGTTTATCAGATATCGCCACGATGAATATGATCGAAAAGCGTCATTATTGGCCACTTGTCAAAACGTGATTTTTGACACGAAAATCTGTCAAACAGATAAAATTGTTTGACAATAGGGAATTGAAGAACTCACAAAATTGTAAACGCACAAAATTCGCTTGAAATTACTTAACAGATTTGAAAGTTCCACGAGTAATTGATATTCATTTCACACTGTCATATTGCTCAGACCAAGCCACGTAACTTCCTCTTTGTCAATTTCTAACGTGATGGTTGCCAAGCTATCAGTTTTATTTCGACAGTATAGTGCGTTGATTTGGTTCGGTTAGATGTTTCCTAGAAAATTTCTCAATTCTCTTAATTGAATAAAAAGAGAATGAGTAACACTATTATTTACATTGTTCATACGAAAAAATATTTTTTGAGGAAGTTATAATGCCGCTATGTGGTAAACGAAGAAATTTTTGATAAAGGATCTGTTTTCTTAAAGAGTTACATTCATAATTATTAGTAAGTTAGAACATTTTATCATTACACGATGCTATCCAACACATTTATTATGTTTTATAAAATAACAAAAAAAATTACTTTTTTTAATGAATTTTAAAAATAATCTTATGGCGAATTCGATTGGATGCACTAGTGCGCACTAGTGTGCACTGAGTGCGCCTTCTCTC